TTTCCTCTTCTTCCTCTTCGCCTTCCTAAAGAAGGGGGAAGAATGTGTCTGAAGTGTCAGCTGCCCTCCACCCCAGATGCCATATTTAGGATACAAATGTGAGGAGATGACAGCGTTGTAAAATGGAGCCCGTGCTGAGATTATAATTAACATTTCCAACCTACATCACTCCCCCTCCCACTTCTCCTTTGCTCTCCCCACTATTCACTCACTCTCCTGTACGATAAATGGGGGGGGGGGATGCAAGAAGAAAGGAGAGAAGGAGAGAAAGAAAAGAAAGGAGGGGAGAGAGAGAGAGAGAGAGAGAGAGAGAGAGAGAGAGAGAGAGAGAGCACGGAGGGTGAGCAAACGGAGGGAGGGAGGGGGAAACGGCGTATGCTTGTATACAACCCTGATTTCCATTTTTTTCCCAACTCGTAATGTATTTAATTCAAGTGAAACGTAATCATGACGTGTCGTGTCATTAATCTCCTCGCCGCCTCTCCCGTAAGTACACTGAGTCTTTACTTTCAGCATATATCCTATATCTTCCTCTSTACGCGAACCTTTTCCTCTGTTTACACAGCTCACACACACTTTTAGACGGACGTGGAGGGGTGGGGGGGCTGACATGAAGCAGCATTTCYAAAAATGGTGAATTTACTGCGACTGTTTGTTGCCCTTCTTTTCTCCCTCTTCTTCTTCTTCCTTTTCTTCCTGACGAGGATAATCGCCAACATAGTTCTTCTTGTTTTTCCTTCTTCTTTAAACATGCAGGTGTGTGTGCGCGCGCGATTCGAGTGCGTGCGTGTGTGAGTTGATTGGCACGCGGATCGTATGTCTGAGCCTGCCGGGCTCACTTTCTCTCTCTCTGTGTGTGTGTGTGTCATGTATGTGCGCGCGTGCTCGCTTCATGACCGTGACATGACTTTACACACACACACACACGCGCGCACGACAGTGAAAAAGCGAGCGCACCGTTCGGAGAAAAAACAAACTTGCGACATTAAAAGTGCTGGAAAAGTCGCCGGAATTGTTAACATTTACGTAACTTCGTAATAAGTTGTAGGCTGTCAGCGGGTTGTGTGTCCGCGCGCGGACAGCGTGTCTTCCGTGATAAAAAAAAAAAAAAATGTGGAAGAAAGATAAATAAACCTACGTTTGAGTGGAGAGAGGGGGGAAAAAGTAGCTTTTTGGACTTGTTTTGGTTTCAAACGAGGGTCAAGTTGACGGCGGAGCGGGGTTCAGAGAGCCGCAGACATGTTGTGTAAAAAGTGCATTTTTTTGTGTGTTCATTTCTGTAACGTGAACAAGTTGATTCAAAGCGGGAGAAACGTGATTAGCTGGACTTAATTCTTTTGTTGGGCTTCGTGCGGGTTGTTGTTTCCTCACCAGCCCCGTCGCTTTATCTGTTTTATTTCTTCCTTTATTTCTGTGTAAAGCTTTAAAGGCGATAAGTGTTTACTACAGTTGTCCTAACATCACCTCCTGTGCTGTACTGAAGTGTTGCGTTCAGGTCCGCTTGTAAAAAAACTGGACAAGTCACCGGGTTTTAGCTGTATTTAATAAAATTAAAACGGTAGGTTTTTCTTTTTTCTTTTTTATAGATAGAGAAGAGGGCATGGATGTTGATGCGAGATTGGTAAAATGAAATCCATGATGGCACTTTTCTTTTTCTCCCTCCCTGGCTCGCTCACTCGTCTCTTTCCCCCTCCCTTAATCTTTTGTATAGAAAATTTAGGAACAAAATGGAGCAGGCTGACATGACACACACACACACACACACACACACCACCTCCGACTTCTCCCAAACTAACACTGCTGATGCTTTCTAATCACGTTTTTATTAGTATTTATTATTATTATTATTCTTTGCGCATTGATACAACCATCAGAGCGGGCTTAATCTGATTTTAGTCGGTGCTGTTTATGAGTGCATTGTTTGTTGATGCTTATTTATTTCATTAATGTGCCTCTAATTGAGATGGCCGCGAGAGAGAGAGAAGAGGAGGAGAGGAGGAGAGGAGGAGAGGAGAGGAGGGGGTGAAGGAGCTGAAAATGGTTGCACGTTATTGACGCACATCACAGGGGCGAGGAGGAAATTCCTCCTGAGATAAGGCGCAGACGTGTCATCTGGGCTGACCAAAGACAACTCCCCGTCGCCTTTTTTCACCATCCAGCTGAAGATGTTTAGGGATCCTGAAATGTCCTATTTTTATACATCCACCCGAAATGTCACACTCTTCAGAGAGCAGTGGAAGTAGGTTGACATGGCTGGCTCGTCCTATAATCAGAGCTCCTTTTTCCCGCTATTCTTTATATAATCCTAAACTGTTTTTTTTTATTTAAAACATAGCTACTGTAACTTAAAAAAAAGCACCAACACATGTAAAAGTRTGTGAAAAATAGAAACATATCTTATTCAAAGCGACGTCGAAACTCAAAACCTCGTATTTTGAGATTGCGAGACTTGCTCGAAGTGTGCGTTGAGGGCGACTCTCGGCTACTACCACGTCAAACTTCAGCTCAAAATCTGTTAAACTGGCCGACTTGCAGCCGTTTTCTGTGTTTCTGAGATCACTTGGCTGTGACATTTGTTTTAAACTGGGTTAACTCCAAACATGAATGAGTTGTCGCTGTGCATCCAGTGATTCATTTCTGTGAGTTTCAGTGTAATCCGGCCAGCGGTTCTGTAGATATTTTGCTAACAGACAAACAGGGTTGACGCTGACATTTGGGCCAAAGTCTGAAGCAAAATGTTGCACAGAGAGCCGACCGCTCTTGTTGTCACCTCTCAGCTACTATCACTCAGACTGTACCTGTATATTTGATAAACTTGACTTAATTTATTGTCATTTATAGGTTTTTTAAGATCAGTTGTTCACAGTAGTCATCTTAAATCGGGTTAGCCTCAGCAGTTAATCAGTTCTAGCTGTATTTACGATGGTGTTATCCTGAAAGCATCATTGAAAACAATTACTCTGTTAGATATTTTGCTAACAGACAGCATGAGTTGGGTCTGTGCTAAACGGCTACGTATTATTACAGATTTACACCATCTTTGTAATTTCAAAAAATGTGCTGGGGATCAGTATCAGCTACTACCACACCACATTTTAACCTAATAGCTTAAATTGACTGAGGTGTAAATTTTTCAAATTGTTAAAAATCGCCATTGTCAGCCATCTTGCATGGGATTGATACTCAAAGATAATCAGTTACAGATGCACACTTTCTGAGAGTTTTATTACAATCACTGGTTCATACACACACCTTTCAAAGAGATACTGCAGACATTTTAAAGTGGGGTTCTAAGTGTTATCAACAACATCTTACCTGTTGGATAAACTTTATTAAACTTTAACTTTGACTGGATTGATGACAGCACTACCAACTGCACCACTTAGCCACCCGTAATAATGTCGGTGGTAAAGTTTATTTATCACATTTGCCCAAACTAATATGGAAGATAGTTTTCTGTTTAAACAAGCCCTACTCAGCTTGATACAGAAGTGGACCACAATATCTAGACTACATGTGTCAAACTGAAGGCCCACAGGCCAAATGTGGCCTGCTACAGCATTTTAAGTTGCCCGCAAGAACTTCAAAGTTGGATTAATTTTATGAAATAAGCACATACTGTTTTACAGTCAGCATTGACCATGAACTACATCTCCCATAATGCATGCAGATTATTTTACCAGCAAAATTACAGCATCCCACCACTAGGTCGAGGTGCACAGGGTTTAAAACTAGCCGACGACTTTTGCAGTGTAAAATTGCCATTTCACTGCATTTTTGCCAGCTACTTTCGCAGCGGCCCAGTTGTATTGGGAAGTGGGAATTTACCACTTACAAGTTGTAAATTTAAACTGGAATGACCTCTCCTGTGGGAATTTTGTGTCAAAAAGTGGGATAGTTCTGAAGACAGCAACTACTCAACACAACTCTTTTACTTGTATGTTTAACAGTATTTCTGTTTATTTGTTTCATATTTAGTCAGTCATACTTGTAGTACTTTTCACTGCTTATAAGGGGACACTTTTAAATRCTGTTTTTATGCAGGAAATACCACGTAGAGCTCAGTTATTGTTTGTTATCTGTGCTCAGTCGTAGCAATGAGATTAGTTGAAATTAAACCTGAAATGTTGGTTATCTACAACTAGTCCTTTTATARGTGAAAATTAGTTTGACTCATCTGATCTAGACTTACTGGAACTTTGAATCTGAAGCTGGTATGAGACTGACGGTCTCTGTTTGGTGGACCCAATAAAAGTTTTAGGTCCCCTTCCTCGTAAACAAAACCATAGTACCTGGAGAAAACCCATGCCTGTGCAAAAAACATACATACAACTCCACATTGAGGCTCCAGGTGATATTTAAACCTGCAGCCTTCTTGCTTTGAGGYGACAGCTCCAACCACTGAATCACCATGCCGAAGTGACAAGTGCTACAGTTAGCTGTTCCTGTGAAAACTTTTATGCAAATAGCCATGTGTTGAAGTTTATAAAACAGTTTGGAAGTTGTTTTAAAGTGCATGTGCCATGCATATCCTTCAAATACAAAATGTCAAAAAAAGCATCTTTATATTTAAGAAACTTGATATAATACATGATTTTACCCATTTTGTCRCATAACTGTCATATTTTCTTGTGAAACAGGAAGTGACATCAAAGGTGAACTCTTTAAGAAATAAAACTCCTTTGTTTATTTAAACACTGTTTGAACTAATGCTTTTCTTCATCTCTCTGGTAATGACTCATAATAATCTAAAGAGGAATCAGATTCTTCTCTACAGTCTGTGTTGATAGCCGCTGTAGCTATGGTCTGTTCACATAGAGACATTCCTCTTTGACATCACTTCCTGTTACATCACATGTGAGTATCTCAACAGCTGCTCATCTCAGTGGTGTGATTTTTTTAAAATTTTGCAATATATTATCAAAATCTAAAAAAATGCATTCATTTATATAACCAAAATTTAATGTACTTTAAAAAGGAACTTTAAGGTAGCCGTGATCTACTGTTGTTTTTGCTTCGTTTGAATTAGCCTTTAGCTCGTCATTGTCCTCAAAGTTGAACTCTTTTCYCCAAATAAAKTTGTTCAAAGAGATACWTTCACAACAAGTGATATGTAAAAGRGATAGTCTGCTAATTTTTAGGTGATGTTCTGTCCTTAGACATGAGAAAGGATGTCTTTAAGGCTTGCGAAACAAGGCTTGTACACTATTTTTTAGGCTTAAAACAACATTTTCAAAAATGATAAATAGTGTGAAAGACAGCTACATGAACTAATAATATAACTTTGCGCTTCTGCACAATATCTCCCTGTATTCTCAACCAAACAACCTTCATGTTGCTACTCAAATGTGTTAATCTGATGTGTCAGTGCATCTAGTCAGTCAAGTTTACTCAACTCATGGAGGTCTGATACATTCAGCAGCACCAGTGGCTTGAACACGGGCTACTGTAGCAGGTCTGAAGCTCAGCACACGTTAGATGTTCGG